CGATTTTAATAGATGATTGGGTATGAGAAGGTGTTTGGCAAACGTTATACTTTTTTAAAACCAAACTCATATTTCTTAAATCTACTACTGTATTTCAGTGGACAAAATAATGTAGAAATCAATCGGAAAGTTAGTTTTAGTTGAATTTGGTACAGCATACATCAATTATGAATTTAGAATGTATTTGTCGTGTTAAAATTTGAAATTAAATTATAAGACGCTCCAGGATGGTGCAACAGAAGACAGAGTAGCCACCCTTTTTCTATATATTTAATGCCTATTATTTATTCTGTGATAGTATTATAAAATTTAAAACGTAAACTAAACCCTTTCGAAACGAAATTACGCTAATTCTACCTGTGACGACATTTTTGAGATCCAAACTTCATGTTTACCTTTTTGCCCAACTGTTACAAGCTTACAGACATGTGTACTGTACAATTCTGGTGTTAACATACGAGCTCAATCAATTTTTGTTTAGAAGGTTCACGGTTTGTGTTCACCTCTAATTTGGCTACAGAGGCCTAGTCGTAGAGCGTATCCAGCAAAGCAAGGGCTGGTACAGTACAAGGGTGAACGACTGCACTGATTTACCCCCGCCGCAGGAAACCTTCTGACTAAGCGAATTTCCATTTGCCTGATTGGATTTACACTAAAATGCCTCCGTAAAAATATCACATTTATTCCCCATTTAAATAGAATTAGTTCAACGAGTACTTAGGTTTGCTGCAGCAGGGAGGGTAAAAAAAGTATTTTTCATAGTTTAATGTTAATAGTTTCAGTAATAAATGAATGTATTTTCCATATTCGATCAAAATATGTTCATAAACAAGCAAACTACAACATTTGACTTATTCTCCATAAGAATAACATGGTAATTTTAAAATTTGCAATTTTTTTTAATTTTCTCCGTAATCATTAGGCGCAAAATAACGCTCAATATACTAAATTATTTGTTTTTTAAGCTCAACAAAACAGTTTGGGAAGAAATTGTGAACTTTCGTGTTTTTAGGGTCAAAATGGGAAAACATATTTTTACCCCATAAAACCCTCCATAAACCCCCGTTCCCATAGTCCGATCATTCTAGTTCGCAAACCCGTTTGAATACAAAATTTCATCAAAATTGGATCATTTTTGCTCCAAAAAGTTATCGTGCTTACGGACACATATTATATAAGTATGAATTTGAAATTATGGTGTTTTAGCCTCTAGAGATCTCAAAACGAAAAAGTAAATCGGTCCCGGGTCCATGTCTTACCATGAGTTATACGGTAATAGCTTATTCCCTGTATGGGAAATTTGCTAAAAGTAGTGGCATGTATCAAGAGTCCGAACTCAAGACATCGCTGCCTTTAAGTCCTTAAAGTCCGTGGCGCTACCGGCTGAGACACCGACTCGCAACCGATAATTTAATACAACCGGTCAAATTAGTAGTATTGTGATTTCGAAACGGAAAACATTTGTATCTTTCTTTTTTTTTTGTAAAAAAAATCTCTTCAAAAGGAAATAATCGCACTGGACACCCCATCACTTGACTACCCCAAGTGGTGAGTGTTGAGTGGGGTGGGGTAGGGGGGAGGGGGGTCAGATAATACACTTACTCTGCCTCAGTCATTAGACAAGACACTAACGACGACGTCCGACTTATGACTTCCGATGCTGCAACAATGGCAATGGGTTTCCCGGTGTTCTGAGAGCGACGACGCCACCTACTCCAACGTTAGTGGATGTTCTGTAGGTAGATCCAGGATTTACTTTGTACCTATTTTTATTGATCCAAATTGTATTTTTACGTGATTGAGAGTAAAAGTAGTCGAGTGGAGTGCTCGCCTATAACTTATAACTCGATCCAGATATTATTTGTCATTGCGAAATAAGTTAATAATGCGTCATAGTTTTCCCATTATAACAGTACAGTGAGAAGGTATATTATTTTGCAAAGTTCAAAGTTAGCAAACATGACTCAACAAGATTTGTTTACGTTAATTTTTTTCATTTCAACGTAATTAAACTTCAGTTTAAGAGACAACAGGTAAAATTAATTTCAAACGGAACGCCGTTTTTAAAAGTTTTTCCTATAAACTGAAAAAAAGACACTGATACATTAATAACACAAAAATCCGTCCTGTAAGTAAGAAAGGAAGTATTTCATCGCTCATGAAATTTTCGGACAGGCAAAGCTTAAAACTGGTTTAAATATGTAGGAAAACACTTGTAAGGATTAGGGAACGGGAGTTGTGTCACAGACAGGAACCGCGGGCTTAGCCACCGTCATACTTTGTGTTCCTTTCCTGGGGCTTACTCTGGGCTGAATCCGGTGTGCAAGCAGGTTACATGTAATGAAGGGAATTAAACATTCTGGCTGCAAATCTCTATGAGTGGGCTGCGTTTTATTTTTAACTTGGTTTAACAGACCGATATTATGATAAATTTACGACATATTGTTTTGCAATTTGTTATGTAGTTAGGGCCTACTCCTGATTTATTGTAGCTTAGCGATAGTTCCATGATGATGAATTAGTATTTAGGTATTTCACGACACTGAAATTGTAGGATGCATATTTTAAGGTAGATAAGAAGGGTGAAATAGCTTTGTTACTGAATAAAATTGGACGATTCTTTGGACAGGATCGATGATGAAAAACCTATTTATCAAGTACTGGTGGGTATTGCGCCAACTGACCTGAGTCAGGTAGTCGGGTATTCCTGAATTGCAATTGCGCCAACTACCCCAGGGTGCAACCCGATACGTTCCTTATAAGCCAAGTGGCGGCCCTCTTTGGCTGTATAAATGAGTAGTTTTGTTGGGTTAGGTTAGGTTAGGTTAGTTTAGGTTAGGTTAGGATGACACGTAAACAAGGACATTCCTTCTGCCGGCAACTCACCCCTACCCTCTTGGACATTTAAAAAAAATCGTGAAGATAACACAAGATACGAAATTAAGCACAATTTCGATTAAATAATTGAAAAAAGCAGATGATTTTTAAAATTCCTATTTACTTGATAATCAACCAAACATCACGCAGTCACATCACTGCACCCCTTGGCTAATTACGCTTACATTTCCCCTCTCTCTCTCTCCCTCTCTCTCTCTCCCTCTCCCTCTTTGTATTCTACATCACGACAGTGACGGGGTCACGTGACCGATCCGACGTTCAAAAATAGGATCCAATTGTCGTAATTGATTACGAGACGGCAGGAAAACATTAGTCCTGATTAGAATTAGTCGGGTCGTGATTGTAACGAACGTAGGCTAACGTTGGCAATTGGTGCAATGATTCTATCAAGTCAGGACTGATGTCACTCGGCCGGAATAGACGCACACCTCAACAATGTAAGTGAGAGATGGAGAAGTTAGGTTCCCTCCGACAAGCTATAGCTCCCGATATACCGTTGTCAAGACAAGTTTCTAATGTTGACGCAAAACAAACTAGACAACTTTGAGTGCTAGACAAATCCAAAAGGCATTTGTTCGACTGGATTAATGTATAGATTGTGATTTGTTGAATGGATGGCACTCTTGATGTAAAGCTTCTAACCTTGGTGTTACTATTAGTTGAATGTTTAAATAATGAATTGTGTAGCCGAAAAAAAAATCGAACTAATTTAAGGGCCACTCTAAAAATAGTTTCTTTTATTTATGGATATTCAACAGCCAACGCCACCTTGCTAATACTGATAAGATTTTAACCCCCCTATGTGAGTACTTCGACATTATGTGTCGCCTACAGAATACACCAGCAGTAATGCGTTGAGCACGTTACATGTAGAATGACGTGACTCTGGGTATGTATAAAGGACAATTAGAGTGGGTAAAGCGATTGCCATGTGTTTGCGTCTAGTTACATAACAGGATTGGCCCATCTCGCGGAATACGCTTGCATATTTCATGAAACTCGAGAAAAAGACGTTACCCGGCGCATACGAAATGCCAGACTACACAGCCAAGTACTGCCTTTGTGAACTGGCAACTCAAACCCAGTTACCTTCCCGAGAAAAGTATATCGGAAAACCGACTTTCTTCCTTTATGAAAAATGTATAGCGTAAAGTTTTCTAAAAATTCTATCAACTTCTTCGTTATTACATCAGAAGGAAACGAATTCGCGCCCCGGCGCGGCCATTTTTTATTCATCTCTCCTCCGGTGTATCCGAATAAATTGGATTTCATTCGGAAAGCGTCGCGTCGAGTTTTTATATTTTTAACTTTTATGTACTTTTCCTTTGACGGTAGAAAAATATGATAATTCGCTCAGAAGAGGTTCCGCCGGCGGAAGAATTTTTCAACGTCAAAAGGAAACTGAGTAACGAGTCTATTAAATATGTATGCCGTGATAGAAGGTTCTTAATTGGGGTAATTCATTAGAGACACTTAGTGGCGGAGGAGTTATCATATTTTATCATTTCGCTTAGACGCGACTAACTCGGTTATGCAGATGAGTTTCGTCCCTGGCCACTGAAAGGGTCCATCTCCCCCCCCCCTCCATGCAAATCTTCGGTTCGATATCCTTTACCTACCGGCTGTCTCGCTGTTAATCACATTTGCCTTAATTCAGCGCGATCGAGTAAATGTAGAGTCGCCGAAACGGATATTTTACACTTTCGGTTTTAATCGAGTTTTGTAAACGCGACGCCTCGTAGATGTAATTTATAAAGTTGTAACGCAAATTCATTTTACTGTATAATTTTTGGTATGGAGTTTAATTTTGCTTTCGTAAAACACCACAATGGAAGGTAAACGTGAGCTTGTTTACTTGTGATAACTCGCCTTCCTTTTGTCCAGAACCGTATTTGAAGTAAATATGAATGAAGCACTTGATCAAAATAATAGTAATTTCTGAACTTTAAACAACAAGAACTTTTCAATTAAAAGTAACTCATTTTCCTGCCATGTCAAGTAACGTACCTACTCAGTTGAATTTTGAATACAGTTATCTCATACCATTACCAACACCCAGTCAAAGTACTAACATATGACAAAGTAGCAAATGTATGACTTACCCGTCAGTGGTGAACCCTGGAAAGAGAGGGTGAGTGAATGTAGCTGTGGGGGTGGTGGGGGGTCGGTCCCCTCCTGGGGGGGATGAAGTGACGCTGGTAGACCCAGCGGCTGGAGGTCGGGGAGATACGTCACCGGCGCTGGAAACAGGAGACGTACAGGTCAGAATAACAGAACAGCAACTACAATGTACAAGCATAGATAAAACATACTCTCTTAGTAGATTTCTCGTCCTTGAAACAGCTGAAGCCAATTTTATTGTTAGTTCTGTGCGGTGCACTGTGAAGTGTGAAGTCGTGTTTTCGTTTTATGTAAACTTCGTTTCTTGTTATATCAGTAATTTTAAAACTCGTTAAAAAAATTAATAAATTGTCTTATCATAAACAATAACTCGCCCTCTAGCTATATATACAACCAAACAGTAAAGAAAAAATCATGAAATTAACCCTAAAATAATAGAAACAAAATTGAGTCGACACCAGCCAGCGTTCAGCGTCACCCGAAATGAACTTGTGTGAGACTATGGTGCAAGGTTTGAATATCTGAAGACTGTACAAGGTCAACTAAATCCCTACATTTCTAACTGACAGGTTAAAAAAGGTGATTAGTAATCTCAATTTCTATTAATTTTCGTCGTTTATTATGGATAGAAATAGACATCCCATTCCCTCGCTAAAGTTGTACCTAGTCGGTTTTAGAATAAATATGATCATTGTTTAATTTAGCACCAACAGAAAGCGCTGATGTAAATTGATGACACTACTCTTATTGTAAAAGCATGTTTCGTGTGACACCAATCAATCCAATAACAAATTAAGGGGAAAATTTAATTTTACCCCCACCCCCCAGGTAATTGGTTGTCTGCAGTAACGTTAGCACTTATTAAGCTTCTGTCTGCCACGCGGTCGTAACCATAGCACCTAGTTTGTTATGTTAAAGTTAAGTAGTTAATTCAGTTGAGTTTTCCTACTTGGGTGAGTATGCACGGTCCTCGTTGTCACAGCTGACTGGTGTAGCTCGGTCGGAGACTTGAAGGTTCATATCTTCCATGTCAGCGTCCTCACCACTGCTGCATACATCGGGCTCGGACCCTAGAGTCTGGAACAAGGACAGGCGTAGTGTGAACTCAGCGTAGAGTATTGACAAACACAACCGGCGAAGAAGGATATCAATACCAATTACAGGAGACCTTCTATCCTACTAAATAACAAGTACTGTAGTGCTAAATTTTAGTTGACCTCTTACAGGCAATCGAATATCAAGGATTATGATACATCATCATGGTTTTAGTCTGACCAAAAAAACTAACATTAGGGTTATCTTTCTTTCGACGACTGTACAAAGAAAGGAAGTTTGGATCGTCCAATGGTCAGGACCATATAGGGTGTCTAGAGAATTGATCTATACCAAAATGAAGAAAAATATATGAAATGAATCAAGGAGAAAAGGCGTTCATTGTACTAGAAATAAAAAATAAAAGATTCTTGAAATATATTTTGTTTCACGGATGTTTAAGAACATATTGAAGAGAATAACAATCGCAATAACAATCATACAAGTTTTTATAACGATGGGGACACGAAAGATGAACTTATTCTTTAGTCTTGAGAATTTCCAGATGAGCTTTGATTAAAGATTTCTGAGATTTCAAGTGAGACACAAATCTTTCTCAAGAGAAATCGTACAAAAACATCAATGAGTCTTAACTTCATAAAGACTTATGTTGCAAAGTAATGACAATGATCATGAAATGTTCGATATTATTGTGATATCACCAAGTAAGAGGGGAACGCAGCCAAGCGTACTAATACTAAATATGCGTGAATAATTAGTGTACTGTGATAATAATTATTAAAATCCCTTGTACTGTTTTTATACTGATTAAGACCATCTATTTCAGCTGGGTCCTATTCCGAACTATAAAAAAAGACTAAAGATCAAACCTGTTTTGATTGTTACACAAACTAATTAAGTGAATTCTTCAAAGGTTGGGGAAAAGCTCGCTCCAGGATTTCAATTTTGCAAACTTACTTGATATTCACTCAAGAATCACTTGATACCCGAACTACGCCAAGTTGCCGATTCACCGCAAGCTCCTAAGCCTCGTATTGATCTCAAGGTGGCGGCAATCTACTGCGATTGCTTCTTATGTAATTAATAAGCTCCACTGTGTTCAGGTGGCGCTCTTGAATTATTGTCTTTGAATCCACCGACTAATATACATTAGTGCGCGTCTTCAATGACTATTCCCTCCCCGTTGTAGCAATGTAATTACTAATTAGCAAGGTTCCCGGGAGGCGCACAACCACATCTTCGCACCTGAGAACTCCTTACTAATGACTACAACTTGCACCGTTTATCACATCGCGGAGTTTTAGTTGATTTATCCGAGTGTTTCCAACCGAGCTTATCTTGTTTATTTATCGCTGTTTCCGAGTTGAGAATTATCTTTGTTTCTGCTTGGTGTTGGAAGAGTTGTGAGATGAGGATTTGCACATTTGATAATGAACGGTTATTTTTGGATTGCAGTTGTAAAGTGCGATAAATTTTGTGAGCGAAGCATTCCCAACCGGTGTTATCTTATTTACAAGTATTTATCGCTGTGAGTTGAGAGTTATCTTTGTTTCTCGTTGGTGAAGTTGAGTTTGTAAACATATATAACATTGTGAGACAACGGATTTTTCTTGATAATGAAGATTATCTTTTGCTGTTTCAGTATTTGCAGTTGGAAAGTGCAATAAAACAACTGAGGGTGGAACTGTAGAGTTTGTTTTGCTTGTTACTTATTTCAGTGAGAGAAGTTTTGAGAGTGGTTGTAATTTGTACCCCGTGTTAACAGTGAGTTTCAAAACCTTGTACTTCCGTTAAGTTTTCTTGTCATTGGACTAAGCCTATGTATTCGTGCAGAAATCTTATCGCGTGCAGTTGCAGTCAGATTATTATATTAATTATATTGTAGCACAGAATACCTTGATTCTCTGTGTCGTGCTGGGTACTCTGCGGTTGTAGTAACACATTGGAAACATCTATATTTTTGTATTGTGAACCCTCAATAATCCGAACCGATTGGGAATCCAAGGATTTTTCCCGTCTGATATATTCCAAGGATATTTCCAAGTTCAGTCTCTCCTGAACTGAATTGTGCAATCCCTAGCTACCTAGTATACACTCAAACTGAAACCACGGACTCGTTTTATGTTCTGCGTTCTAGGGCTCTTAGTTATAACAATCTTCCCGGAGAAGAAGGTTTGACTACTTTAGCAGTTTGAAATAAACTAATTGATCCAATAAAGTTTGATGAACAAAACTACTTTTACAGTTCATAAAATCCAAAGTGAAATGGACTTTGATGAAGCACAATTGAAAAACAGGACACAAAACGAATTCACAATCGGAACGACGCATCAGCGCCGGTATCAGAATTGACAAAGCGAGACAAAAATGAAATATCGCCACAATCGGGGTGATTGGATACGTGCAATAATCGAATTTTAACGTGGTTATGGAATAAAAGCCGTCCACAATTCACCGTCTGGATATGGCTATAGGTCCACTACAGTTTTGTGTATATTAGAATTCAGCAATGGTTTAAAAAAATACCCAATTGACTTCAAAAATTAAATCAACTTATTAAAATGACCACCAAATAAGTGAAATTCCCTTGTTCAGAAATCAAATCAATTCGAATGATTACTACTTTGACTGATAAGACAAATGAATAATATTTTGAACAATAAGTAGGCGTTTTGTTGCTACTAGAAACACACAAAAGTATTTGTTGTAAATTTTAAAAGCATACAAGTTTTCAAAATGTTATAAAGGTATGTTCATTAAAAATCATCCTTAGATAAAAAAAGGATTTACTGTATCTCAAAGTAACATGAGATGCAGACTGTGTCAAATACTTCGAAAGTTAGTAACGTAACGTGCTTATTGATGTGTTATTAAACTAAATTGAATTTCATAAAATTGCAAAACAAGTGTTTTAACATGTTGTCATCATAAGTTATTAAGGGCCCACATAAGTGTTGGGAAAATAGTATAGTTATTCAATATAATATAAAAGACTATAGCACTAAGCAAATAAGTCAAAAACTGATTGGTAAAAAGGTGGAGAGTAAGATAACGTTACATTTGTTTGGCATTTTTCCAGACAAATTCACGGCTTTGATATGTTAAGTCCAAACTTGTACTTTTTTCTTAAGTTTACATTCTGGTTTTTTTTTGTTTAGTATTGTTCTATAAATTTTTGTTTTGTATAATTATATAAATATTTCAAATTTTATAAAAAAAACGTGCTCAAAGCTTTATTGGTCAATCACTTGTAAAGGACATTTGTTTCTTTCTTTGCCATATAATCAAGAATTCATCATTTGCTGTATATACATAACGCATTAACAAACATCGTTCTTAGAACTTTGTGGATATGTCACAATCCATAGATGTATCAATATTATACAAGTGCGTCCGTCAAACACCCCGTGCACTTCAGTGGTAGATTACAGTTTTCGGGACAAGTAAAATATTCAAAACACTCCCCGCCCAGATTGTCGGGAATCAGGAAAGCGGAATATGATAATCAGCATTATTTTTCTGGCTTTCCAGCAGTGTTCAGAGCTCTCAGAAAAGCACCCCAATGCTAATATAAGGGCATTACTGATGGCCTCTTCCTTCCAGGAATATTTTATACTAAGGACATCTTTTGTTGTCTGAATGAATGGGTTATGTCTTTTGATACATATTTTGTGTGTTTTATACAGATAAATCATGCAACGTCTCTTCTTTGTTGCCGCCATTTGCATTTATTCGGTTCAACCGACGCACGCGCGAATCTTCCCCTTGTGAAGTCTTGGAAAGGGGCGATGTCTACTTGTACCGGCGTCTAGTTGTACCTGCTGCATTTTGGTGACAGGCGTCTAGTTGTACCCCGTCCAAAGCTGTAGAGACAACTTGACGATGGTGCGGACGTCTAGTTGTCTCTACGTCTAGTTGTACCTCTTAAAAATCTACAGGTACAACTAGTCGGGAACGTCACCGTCTACTTGTACCTCATACGTCTGCGTCTACTTGTACCTACGACTACTTGTACCTACGACTACTTGTACCTACGACTACTTGTACCTACGACTACTTGTACCTACGACTAGTTGTACCTACGCCTACTTGTACCTACGTCTAGTTGTACCTGCGGCTAGTTGTATCTCCCCTTCAACTTGTCACCGGTTTAAGAGATTTATTTTATTTCTTTAAAAATCATACAATCTTACAACAATTTATTATAAACAACTTGCTACAAAAGCCAGGAACATTTGGCTTGTCTGCAGCTCATTGAGAAACCCCTGTTCTTGACAACAACGTACTTGTGTCCCTTGGTCAGTCCTTAACCATATTACACTTTGGTTTTCCTTATTTCTTGTCAAGATCTGCTATCATTGTTTTTTCCACTTAAACTCTACCTTTCTATAGAAAACTAACATTTAACTAGCTTAAACAACAACTTTAAACAATTATCTTAAATAAATAAATTCAGAGTTTACAAAAACAAGTAATTGAGTATAATAAAGTGTTTTTGTACGGTATTAGTCACGGAGAATATTACAACAAGTTCAAATTAAAAATGTATATGTTATTCTTATGGATATTACGTAAACTGGCGTAGTATGGTAGTTGATGCATATACTTTGACAAATTAGTTTATTTCACACTTAACTACTAACTTTTCTCAAAAAAACATCTTAATTACCTTCTACGCAAACGTAATTAAAGCTCAGTATTGAAATACCATTTAAAAAAATAACCCAGATATGACTTTTTTTTGCGCGCGCTTATTAGTTCTTAGTAAAACTAATCTTGGTTTAGTTGCAGACTACATAGCCAGTGTACACATACCTAGCTCAGTATAAAATTACAACACAAATTACACTGATGAAATCACGGAAGTGTTTAACTACAAAAGATCCACCAATACGATTTTAATACTATTTAAAGGTTCTTCCAAAGGAGAGATACCAGATAACATACTAATAATAACTCCGATGACGTACGGTAAGGGGAATATTTTATTCATTGAATGATCAACCGAATTTGGTGACTAACGC